TGCACTAAACTATTGTCAGATAACTAATAGTGAATCCCAATAACCAAATAATCACTTCAAACACATCTGTAGTAAAAATATTTTTAGTTTAAAAATGTGATAATTTTTAGTCAAATATTTTGTTGTAAATTTTTCAAAATAATTCCGACCGACAAACTTTGAAAAATTCCTGTTCAAAAGCTATTCATCCAATCTTAATGAAACTTGGATTCTGGTGCCTAAGGATGTCAACTTAAATTATGAAACTAATTTCATAATTCTAGCTACACTAGAAGTTGCTCAAAACACTTCATTATCATTTAATCCAATATTTATGAGAGCTCATAATTTTTCTAGCAAAAATAATACCTTATTTAAATGTAATTTAGTGTAATTTAATGTAATTATATGTTTGTGCACAAAATTTAGAGAATTTCATAACAAATTTTAAATTTCTTAAGAATAAATTAAATATTTTATATGCATGTCATTATAACGTGTGAATACATCATTAATATTTACATAATCTTTTATATTGAATATATTTTATTTGTTGAAAATATAGTTATAAAAAATTATATTTATTGAGGAAATAAAATATAAATTAAATCTAAAAATATCTCAACAAAATCTTCCTTCAGATGAATAAACACTTAATTATTGATTTCTGGATAAACTTATGTTACTGTTGATCATCGGCTCAACATTTTTCGAGTCTATTTTCATATATTTTTTAATAAATTAAACTTTAATAAAAAATTTTGCGTACATTTTTAAAAATAAACTCAACTTAAGTGCAAAACAATTTATTATTGAATTCTTTTAACCAAAACTTTAAACATCTAATTTTAAATCCAAAAATCCTATTATTTGATAGACTTGTTTAATATCTGTCAAACACTTACTGCCAAATATAAGTTAGATTTAATCCTATAATCAATTATTAGAGAGTACTTTAAATTTACTAATAAATTACAGCAAAATTTAAACTAAAATTTTTCAAGATTATAATCAATACGAGTGAACGCATGCGAAGTCTAATACAATAGGAGAGCGCAACAGTCGGTTCATATATAGATAGCTCAACACTCCAGTGGTTTAACACTTAATATAAGGAATACACAGAATATTCCTGATTCCTAGAAGAATATCGTAAATATTTTAAATCATTTAATGACTAAATCAACCCGTTTTATAGGCGACAAGTATTTCAGTTATTAATGAATGAATTAATAATCTTATATTAATCTATAAATATATACTGTTTTATATATTTTGTGTAATAAAATAATCATCTAGAATAAATATTTTTGATTAAATATTTTGATGCCAATATGAAACACAGAATAATATGAAAGCAATGCTTGATTCGCTTACTTCCGTATATATCAGTACAGAAGGACTCGATATAAAAGTGTATATAAATATCATCTCTTTATTGTGTAACTATGGCTACTGTTAAAGAGTTATCGCATATATTTTTCTACTAAACTGTTATTTTCTATGGATTTCCTTGAATATTAATGTAAGTCTTGTCGTTAAGCTTAATTTTCTCACAAAAATAATCAATTTGATTAATACAAACTGTTTATAAGATAAACATTGAATTTAATAATAATTTATTTGCTATAAAATAAAATTTTATAAATATTTACAAATTGAATATAGGAAATAAAATATAATAATTATACCTGTGTTTAAACAAAAGCTACTAAATTTAACTTTGAAAATTGATTACATCTCGTCATAAAATAATTATTATATTTCTTATTAAAATATATATTAATTTCAATAATACTTATGTTTAAAAATAAAATAAACTGACAATGTTAAAAATAGAGTTGTAATTGGAAATAAAATGTTTGATAAGTTAAGAAACTAGTCTGTAATACATTAATATACAGTACATCATTCAAAATAACATTATCTTTACCTTTAAATAATACCTTTTATTGTTGGTATTAATAATTCAATAAACACATGAATTATTGATTTCAAAAGCACTTTTAATATCCGTTTATTTGTTGTCTTTTGTTGAGATTCATTAAATATGAGATCAGTTTTGTCGCTACAAATAATTTAAACAAAATTACTATAATGTTAGTTATGCACTGATTTAATCAATAATATATTACAAATACTTAAATATATTGCATAACATTACTGTATACTGGAGTTATCGTTATATACTTTATAAAGTATGTGTATACATGTAAATATCTGAATAAAATCATTATGGTGTTAGTAAATACAAAAAATATTTATTAAGTTTGGGAACATAATTATGTGAAGTGTTGTTCAATAGCTTACATAATTGAGAGACGGAATTCATTATATAGTAAATAAATATACATTTTAGTGAATAGTTTCCTACATTTATTTGATATATACTTTTATTTTCTCCATTATTCATATTGAATACAACCGTTAAGTGGGAACACATTCTGTATACTGTTTTAAATTAAATTCAAGAATATATTCGTTTACTTTTCTTTTAAACACATCAAGTCTTTAGGGATTTTTGCTAAGGTTTTTTTGAAATATTTTAATGTATTATTCATTTTATTCAAGAAAATTCACACTAATAATACTAGGAATAGACAAAATAATTAAAAATGTATTTAAAATTGTAATTTTTGCACCACATTTAGCCAACACAGCCTTAATTAATTTAATGACATAGAAAATAAAAAGAAAATAACTTTTATATAAAACACTTTTAATACTTCTTTTTTCTTAATTTCCCAGAAAATGTTATTTATTTTGTTGTAAACTTCAAAAATATGCCGATATTTAAACTGGGATTCAATCAAAGCCTCAAACTCTTTATTAACAAACGAATTGTTTCTCAAATCGTAAAATTCAGTAAAATATTTATTAAGAAAAATGAAAGTAAATTAATCAAAAGCATTGATGATATCCCGGGGCCTAAGCCTTCGCTGCCCATCATAGGCACGGGTTGGCAATACAATCAATTCATTGGCAAATATGATATCCATAAACTTCACGAAGTATTGTATGAAAAGTTTCAAACATATGGACCAATATTTAAAGAGGAATACCAACGAAACAAAGCCATTGTCTATATCTATGATCCCAAGGATATTGAAACTGTGTTCAGAAATCAGGGCAAATGCCCGATACGTCCCGCCAATGACTTTGTGGTTCACTATCGGTCCAGAAATACAGATAAATACAGTTCTGTTGGCATCGCAAACATGAATGGAGAGGAATGGTATGAATTGTATTCAAATAGTAATTGTCAAATAAAATAGTATTATTTTCTATAAGGTATAAACAGCGACAACTCATAGCACCGGTACTGTTAAAAATGGATGTCATTACCAATTATATCCCTAAATTAAATATAATTTGTAAAGATTTTGTTGAATACATTGCCAAACAAATGACATGTAATACAATGAGCGATGACAACGTGATCGACGACTTTCGTGACATTTCCTACAACTTTGTGTTAGAGTCCATTAGTTTGTGGTGTTTGGGCACAAGACTCGGCTGTTTAGACACTCAACACAATGACAGCCATTCTTCGGTCTCAATCGACAAACAAATGATGACAATCGCGACCAAAGAGTTGTTTGAATCCTATCAGCGATTGTATTACAGCTCAAAGCTGTGGAAATACGTCAAAACCAAACCATACCGACAGTTGGAGAGATCCGAGAGCTGTATATACGACACGCTTTCAACGCGACCAAAGAGTTGTTTGAATCCTATCAGCGATTGTATTACAGCTCAAAGCTGTGGAAATACGTCAAAACCAAACCATACCGACAGTTGGAGAGATCCGAGAGCTGTATATACGACACGCTTTCAAAGTATGTTGACTTAGCTTTTAGTTCAAAGACTGGTTACGAAAGCCTTATGAATGAATTGATAAATTTGGACACATTGTCCGTCAATGAGATTAAAGTCTATTTAATGGACTTTATTATTGGCGGACTCTTCACGGTTTCAAACGCATTGAATTTTGTTTGCTATCATTTGGCAAACAATCCGTCGATTCAACAAAACCTGTTGCGAGAGATCAATGCCGTGACGACTGACCAAAACGAGATCACATCACAAATGTTGTCTCAAATGCCATACCTTAAGGCCTGCATTAAAGAGAGTTTTCGTCTCACGTCTACTGTTCCCGGAATTGTCAGAGTATTGCCGTCGGATGTCATACTCTCAGGCTATCACATCCCCAAAGGTATGCACAAAATTAATTGTTATAAATGTATAAATAGATTAAACAAAACAAAAATAACACTTAAATCGATAGGAACGCCGGTATTCGCTAATTACATGACAACATGTATTTCTGATAAGTATTTCTCAAACCCAAAGTCATTTATACCCGAGAGATGGATAGGGGATAACAGACACGACTGGCCCTCGTTTTCGGTGTTGCCTTTTGGGTTCGGGAGCCGTATGTGTGTCGGCAAACGGTTCGCTCAGTTACACATCCAAATGGCTGTCCTTTATATCATTAAACACTTTGAGATCTCTGTCGACGAGAGCGACGAAATTGAATTGATTTGTAATTTTCTAATTATAGCCAATCGTAGGATTAAACTCAAAGTTAAGCGAAGATAAAGGAAGAAAATTATTTTCGATAATAATGTTAAATATGTTAAATATTTTGTTAATTAATAATTACTTGTTATTTTGTTAATTACTTGTTGTGTTTTGTTAATAAATATAAAGTCTATTTAATTACAATTAATTGTTAAAATATAAATACTCATAATAGTTATAATATCTTATACTCTAAATAAGCAATCTTGTACTCGCAAATAAGTGAAAATTTTAAATTACTAAACAAATAAGCATTAATTGTGAGTCCGATTGAGAGGCAGTAAAACATTATCATTATATCTGTTGATGTAGTTTCCGGCGGGACTATAGTTGCAAACGGTATACAAGCGTTTGCTATTCTGACTGTAAACCTGAGCGCAGCCCACTTTGTCGGAGGCCTTCCACACCACTTGAGTGAAATGTCCGATCTTTCCCGTCGATTGTCGCCAATTGGCGTAATTATAGTCTTTAATTTCGTCATACCATGGCTTCACTACCTTATGGCACGAGTAGTTCCTAATCAATAGCATAATATAGTGAAGATTTTCGCCAAATTTGAACTCATAGGACGGGTGTTCAAACACATCCGTCCGCACCAAATACTCGGCCCTTCCCTTCGCTATACTAATTAACTGTTGTTGAAAATTATGCGTTTAAAACATTGTTAAAGTAATACATCATAGATAACTCACATCTGGGTGTAATTTCAATGGCTGTACGCCATGAAGACTGCGGTAATGATTGTGTGATTTAAGGCATTCAATGTTAAATTTATCAAAAATCTCGTTATCGTCTATTTTATTGTAAAAACAACTGAAATACACTATAATTACGGTTACAATCGTTATAAAGACTATTAAACATATTGAATACAAGAGTCGATTCCTTTGTTCAACACTTTTAAATCGTTGATTTAAATCATTCAATCGTTTAGACATTGATTGACTGAAAGTAACGTTAACTGCGGTAACCATTGTGTTAATGAAATTATCAAACACTCTATCTCTCACTTAAACAACATTTGAAACAATTTATGAAATAATAAATTGCTGTTTATTTAGTGATTGTATTATAAGTTAATGAACTTGTGGTCAAAGAATGTAAAACATAAATGTAAAAAGTTGTCACTTCCTCTCATCTCTGTTTCCTTCTTTCGTCAAAATTTCCTTTATTTTTATTATTTCTATTCACTATTTGTTGTATGAAATCAAATGTTTTTCCGTCTTTTTTGTGCACATAATGTACTGATTTTAATATTGATTAAAACACTATTAGTTTTACTAACTTTTAAAAAAATTATTTTTCCTAAATGCTAGCTTTTTTGAGATAACTTTTATACATTTGATAAGTTTTCTACAAAAGGAAGTTTAATGTTTGCTATTTCTATGTCTTTACACATGAATTTTATGATTGTAATTACTTATTCAATAAATATTAATTATTATTATTTATAATCTATAATTATTTTTAATTACCAATTACTTAATTTCAAATTAATATTACATTTAAGTCACTTTATTATAATATAAGTTAACTCCCATTATTGTATATTTTATTTACATTAATACTTCAATCCTCAATAATTATAAGATATAAACATTTATGTAAAATATTTTTATCACATTAATTGAAGAAATTTATATAAAAACTTGTTGTTTTGAAACACAGGCTTATATTTAGATGACATTTAAAGTGTGTTTTTCTTATGACTGCATATTTCATATGATTACAAAATTAATGGATAAAATTCATAGACAACTGTCTACGGGTAAAGTCATTATCAAACAGAAAATAGACATAAATATAATGCAATTTAATTAAATAATTTATAAAAATATTAAAATGGGAGTTAAAATCGATATCAATCAGTCATTAAGAAAACTATTTATTGAAAACAAGTATTTTTATGACTAAAAATTAACTTATAATAGAAGAAAATCATTAAATTTGTGTTTTATTGAGTAAAATATATGCATTTATAAAAATAAATTACTTTTGTTTGCGTAAAAGATCTACTGTTATAATGAAACAATAAAAGAGTGAATAAATGCTAAATGTTATGTAAAACTAATTATAATTTATAGTAAATTGTTTTGACTGTTGATATGTTTTCCTTGTGTTTTAATTAAAATGCTATTTATAGACAAGAAAATTATATTTTAGTTAATTTTATGTTTATGTCATGTTTATTTAATACATAATTTTTAAATACAGTATATTATAGTTGAGCATTATTAAAAACTATAAAAATATTGATTAAATTAATTGTTAATAAAATATTTTAAATAAATTATAACAAAATACTTTAGATTTAAGTTATTTAGTAAATTTTGGTAAAATAAAGTTAAAACGTAAAGCATAGAATTATATAAATAATAATTTAATTACTTATTAAACATACATTTTAGTAAATGTTAACAAGGATTAAAATTAATGAAATTTAAAAGTTTGAAGCGTTAATTAGCAGAATTTAAAATTACTTACATTTATATAATTAAAATATGAAGATTTAGTGTTGAATATCAACCAAACTATTATCTATTCAGTAGGACTTTGATAGTTATTTAACAAAAATACAAATCAATTCAAAGTTCCACTGAATGAACAATAGGGGTGTTTATTAAGTCAAATGTTCATTAGATTTAATCTATATTTAAAATCAAATAATTTTAATTCAATAAATTTTATTATAACTAATATATTTTGTAATATTTGTCTATCAATTGCTCGAAGATTTAATTAAAAATTTTAATACTGAACGAAATGCTTGTAAAATATATGACAAATATTTAAATTTAAATATTTAGGTCTTTGTATATATAATGAATTTTACAGACAATTAATTCTGTATTACAAAACAGGAAAAGTGAGTTTAGATTTGGGTATAAATTCTTATTATTAACTAATTATTAGATATGGTATAGAAATAGTAACGAAATAAGAGAATTAATTGAATATTCAAATGAGAAATAAATAAATGTGTCTTAACTTTAATTAAGTTCAACAAAATTACAAGAGAATTGAGCCCAAAATTAATCAAAAACAATACTTACGTAAAAATAAATTTTTCGGATAATTATTAACAATTATTATTATATTTGGCATTAATTTCCAGACGAATGTCTTTTTTAGCACAAAAGTCTTAACTCGCAAACAGAGGGAAACTTTTTTATAACGTCTCTCAGAATAAAATACGAGTAAATTATGGATAAAATTGTTTTTATCGTTTGGATAGATCACAATCCCAGAGACAAATCCTCACCGTTTGATAAAATAAAACATTTAATTTCTTATTAATACAATTTTTTGTCCAAACATTTCATATATAAATACATTTTGAATATCAATGAAAGTGAGAAAAAGTGAGGGAAGACTCAAAGAAAGTTAGAGAGAGAGAGAGAGAGAGAGAGAGAGAGAGCAAGTTGATAAAATTTAAGACAAATTCCTAATGCAGTTTTAAAATACTTTATAGCATTTTATAAAAAAGTTTTTTTTAAATAAAATAAATCTTAATTTTTGAAGAAAAGACACAGATTTCAAGGTAAGGGAGAGAATAGTGAGAGAGACAGAGATTATATCCAAACGTTTAAAATATTTTTAGTTTTATGTTTTCTATAAAAGAAGTGGACTTTTAATTATTCATTAAATTATCTCAAGGATAACGAGTTATTAATATTGGGTAGAAAAGTAAAAATACTGTTTTATTCAGACATGGTTTTGGTTGCCATGCATTTCATTATTTATCAATAAATCTTTAACTATTTTTTTATGTAAAAAAAGTTAAAAATTTTGATATAAAAGATTAATTGAATGCCTTTTTCTTATAGTTAAAAGTTTCACTTTATTTCCCCTCAAAATAAAAATCATTCACATTTTTATTTAAACGCATAATTCATTCAAAAAATAACTGTTTAATAAAAAATGTAATTTTGAAAACATTGTGGTAATAATATTAGCACACATTTTATTTATAATAAATGAACCACTTTTTATGTAAAGGATAATTATAAATTAGTTTTCAATATTAATATATTATTATAACCTTCTGTTTGTATAATATATGGATAATTCAGGCTATACTATAGCTATAGTCACAAATATTTAATACATTAATTTTATACATTTTTAATGTAAAAATATTTTATGATTTATCTTTTGATGAAATCTGTGTATTATTAATTAACTTACAATCTGATCAATGGATTAACACTTACATTATGTTTAAAGTGTTTTGCTTCAAATAATAACAACAAATATTTTTGATATTAATTAGTTTTTGATTTTTGAGATATAAAGCAAAAATGTTATTTTACTAAATTTCTTAAATAAAATATAAGTTATAATTCAAATGTGAAATATAAAATATATCGGGTTTATTAAAACTTTATATTTTAAAATCGAGTTTATTATAAATTAATTCCAAAAGTCATAATTAAAATTTATTGTATTAGAATTCAGTTGGCAGTATTTAACAAAATCAGATAGATTAAAAATATATTTATAATTTTTTAAAAGTTCAAAATAATCAAAAATAATCAAATTATTATTACGATATTAACTTTTATAAGATAACTAGTATTATATTGTATAGTCATCAAAAATACAATTACAAATTATGTCATTATTTAAAAATACAATATTAAGTACAGAGAGATATATGATTGCAGTAAATGAAACAAAAATGTAAATTATGTGTAAATTAAATATAATTATAAATTATAATAATTGAGTGGCGTTTAAATGTTGGGATGAGTTGTTGTGATTGTGAGTAGCGATGAGTGGCGGCCAACAGAGGGACAGGTATTGGCAGAGGAATGGATACTCTGAACACTCGGGAACGTTATGAGGAAAGTCACAGTCGTTTATGAATTCGTTGAATAGTAGGCCCGGAAAGCACTCCATGTGTTGCGACCGACCGGTTATGTCGCACCTGTAAAACCAGCTACAGTTGCGCTCGTCCTTCATATAGGCATAACCACCGCACGGAAGGTCTGGTTGTGATAATTGTGGCCACAAATTGCTTAACAAATTATCACTATCTTTGTTGATATTTGTATTATCAGAGATACACTCTTCGAATAACATGGTTAGTAGGTATAGAAAAGTGTGTCTCCACTTAACATTCATCATTTTTTGTTTGTTTTTTTTTTTCGTTATGAATTATTTTAAAAATTATATTGAATTTAAATATTCAATGCATTATTTAAAGCAAAACTGAATTTTTAAAAACAAAATCAGTTTATTTTTATTATTAATGATTTATCACTTTAAACAGAAGACACATTTCTCTTTCTCTATGGCTATCAATAAATCACTTTTTTTTAATACGAAAAGTATTTATTCAATCATTTCGTCCAATCAATCATTACTTCCTCATTGATATTCACATTTAAACGCATTTTCTCTCACAAATGAAAGTCTTTTTGGTAAATACATAAAACAAATATTTAAAACACCTGAACATCACGTATGAAATGATTTTTGATAAGAAAGTGTTTAATAGTATTCGTCTTTCACTAAAAACTTTCCGAAATAAATATTTTGTTCCGATTTTTTGAAGCGAACGGAATCCCAATTATTTGATGAAACATTTGGTGAAATGTCGTAAACTTTTTTGCTGCAAAAAAAACAAAAAAAAAACACATATAAATAAATTAAATGACAAATGCAAACAAATGTATGCTATACTCATCAGGTTTTGAATAGATCTTGATAACAATGGCTGCGATTATGGCACCAATAAATAAGCCAACAATTAGTATCGATCCTCCGATTGCCAGCGGTTTATATAACGTCTTTGGTATCCATTGATATACTCATCAGGTTTTGAATAGATCTTGATAACAATGGCTGCGATTATGGCACCAATAAATAAGCCAACAATTAGTATCGATCCTCCGATTGCCAGCGGTTTATATAACGTCTTTGGTATCCATTGATTGTTTCGCTCTTTAATCTCTGCGATCGCTATATTCTTGTGGTAATTACTGTCGGATGTGTTTTGCTTATCAATAGATTTTGTGTCAAGTATTGTATTGTTCAGGTCTTCGACTGGTCTCATGTTTTTATCAGACAATTTTGTTTCAGTTTTGGCATAAATGACATTTTTCTCACCAAATGATGGATGTGTTGTAACTGTAATTGAATTGACATTATCTGTAGAATTGGTGTCATTTTTATTATTATTTTCATTCTTATTCTCAAAAGATTGTAAAATCTTTTTCTCAAACTTCGCAAAGAAATTATCAAAATCATAGACAATAGAAGAATACAATGAGGACTCTGTTGTGGTGGTAGTTGTGGTCAGCGTGTGGTCAACGTATACCTCGTGAGCCCATTGTTTGTTCTGATTGTCCGTACAATTTGTTTGCCGACAGACACAGCGGTAGTGGTCGGCGTCGACGGGCAGACACAAGTCAGAGCAATTGGCGCGAAGGCATCGGTTGAAGCCGTCGCCGGGTTGACGCAAATTGTCCACAATATTAAACCTATTAATTATTGTGTTAAACGTTACCATTTGGTNTGCTTGTGTTTAATATCTATCGCAAAGATATTCGTGGCGTCAAAATGGATAGACTGACGAGGAATGGCATCAGCATTAAAGAGACAGATCTGTTGGCCAACACCACTGGCATCAAGTCATACGTCGGACAAATTGATTATAGTCTGAGCGCCAATCTATTGATGTGGAGAGTGATTGAACCGGAAAATGCATTATATGTTATGCCTATTCAGCACAGGTTTGACAAAACTTTTTTTTTCACTCCTGTCACTCAAATGTCAGCAAATTATATGTAATTTTATATATTTATTCGTCGAATAAGTGCTGAGAATGTGTTGGGAATCAAGAGGAAGAGCCTGTTGTTGAGGCTGAATAAGTCGGCGTCAATCCGGCTGTCAATCGATTGGATCCATAATCTGGTCTTTTATAATATTGAAGACAAGATCATTGCGTTTAATTTGACTCAACCATTGTATGGCTATATTGTGATCAACGAAATGATCTTCAATACGATCCTCGATTTGGCGGTCAATCCCATGGATTCGCTGCTCTTTTGGAGCGTATCTGACAATAGTATTAACAGAAGGGGAAGAATAATGAGGGCATCGGAGGACGGATCCAATCAGACGGTTCTCATAGACACCGACCTGAGAGAGCCCATCGCTTTGGCCGTCGATCTGGAGCTGAAGAGACTGTATTGGATCGATAGACTGCTCTTTCAGTTTTATTCCGTCGATTTCAATGGCAATGATATGAAGAGTATTTTAAAATCGCACCAATTATTCAAATTGTCTTATTATATGACAATATTTGGTGATGACATCTATTGGTCCAACTATTTTCACAGCGCTATCCTTAAGACCAATAAGTTTGGTCTCAACGGAACTCAAATCAATTATCTCATCAAAACAGAGTCCGGCGCTGACATCGAGTCCATTGCGATCATTGATCCCTCTCTTCAGCCCTTTTCCACAAACAGATGCTTTCAATCCAAATGTTCACATCTCTGTCTACCTATCAATCAAAGACAATACCATTGCGTTTGTCCACAGATTAACTTCAATACTCGTCTCTATCCTAATATCAATTGTATAGAATCTGTGAGTATTTCATTAGTTTTTACAATTATAACAGTTTAAACATTATGTTTATGTTTCAAACAAAAATAGTGACAACTTATAACATAATAATTATATGTTCAATATTTATATTACTATTTATTAATGGAGTTAAATTACTAGACGAGTAAATTTATATAAATACACACATTTGTTTAATTTACGAGAAATTCTTTGAGGATTATTACATACATTAGTTTATAAATATAAATAAATATTTCTCATTGCAATGTTGTTAATAATAATAATGTGTTTATTGTATGAATTTGTTTCAGATTCACACAATTAGCGAAAGATCAGAGTCTGGTAATGAGTTGACAGCGACTACTGAAGTAAATTTATTTACAAATAATAATAATAATAACGAAAATAATATTTACGACGAGAATAATAAGACGACAACTATTTCATGCAATTTAACGCAATCGTCGAGAAAAATAGTTTACACCAAGAATTACAACACATCCAGTGTTTTGTATTTACTGTTAGTAATCTCATTGGCCATCAATTTTGTGGCATTTTTTGGGTTCGCTTTTTATTTATATCGACAGAGAAAAAAGTAATTTATTTTATTTAAAAATACTATTAATTAATTTATAATTTTAATTTTATTTGTAAATCTAATTTACAGTAAACTAAATAAGAGGTCGAGACAGGAAACAAATGGACCGAGATTTGTGTGCCCACAACTCAGACCTGAGTTTGAAATGCTAAACAGCGAAACATTTCGTCTGATAAATTCAAATCCACTCATATCTAGCGATATGTCTCCGGGAATGGACTCTCAAAACCCAAACTTTGATTTAAAAAGTGAAAATTCACTGAAATAGTTATTTTCACAAATAGTCATACATTTTATATTTTTGTTAAATTTTTTCATTAATTTATATAAATATTAATTTTACAAACAAAACATTGTTTTAAAATACTTATTTGTAACACAAATATGCTTATTATGTGTATCTCTTAGGCAGCGACTCAGTTGTTGGCATAAATTATTTATTAAATACACATTTAATTTCCATATCAATCGTCACTGCATTTAATCTGATGTCTGAAATCGAGTCAAACAAATAAAAACACTTTTTACATAACAATAATAAAATATTTTAATTCAAAGCAAAATGCAAATTGCTTTTAGCAAATTGACGTATCCTTCCAATTGTGATCTAAAATTATAAATTTAAATAAATTTAAACTATTTATTACATATTGATGTCATTCATGTAATTTATATATTATTTTCATTTATTATATAAGAATAATTTTCATATTTAAAAATTATGAATTTCTTGAATAGATATTTATTAAATAACTCCTAATTAATTCAATAATGAATTCTAAACAAAAAGTTTAGTCAATTATTAACTTTGTGTTTAACAATATAAGATCCATTGGGATCTGGGCTTCAATCTCAGTATAATCTTAAAAAACAATTTTGTTGTCACAAATCCGTTCCGACAAACCAATATTTTTAGGCATTTTTTGTGACTAATTGGCAGTCAATTAGTTGTTGTTGTATTGAATCCAATGAGAAACTACTCGGAAATGGGTAAAAAAACAATTTTGTTGTCACAAATCCGTTCCGACAAACCAATATTTTTAGGCATTTTTTGTGACTAATTGGCAGTCAATTAGTTGTTGTTGTATTGAATCCAATGAGAAACTACTCGGAAATGGGTGTTAAATGATTGCCAGAGCTTTGCTTCTCAAGAATCAGTATTGAATTATACTTTTTATGTTTATGTTATTGTTAGTGACGAAAGTGAATCTAAATACATATTTATCTCTTAAAAGTACTTAATGTTATGAAAATAAAAGGACATTTACATAATTTAGGATAGCGTTTGTACACTCTCATATTTGCGTTTATTTTTCAAATTATATTATTTACAAATTTTGATAAAATAATTGCTGAAAATTACAGCACAATTCATTATGATTACTTAGACATTAACAGTGATATAACTAATGATAATAATCAGTAAGTATTGTGTAATTATACAAATAACTTATTTTATTCTGCATTAATTAATAAGAGTTTTTGGATTAATTTATTACTCTTTATACCTAATTAAAATACTAATTAATATTTGAGTAATTAATAATTACTAATTATGTAAACTTTTCAAATAATCATATTGTGTTTGACTTTATAAAAAATGTAATTTAATTTCAATTTAATTAATTAATTTAGTTCTCGGAGTGATATAAACATAATCTTCACAACACATTACGATATCATTGAATCTCAAATCGTAAACTTCAGTCAAATTGAAAGCCAGACAATAAACAGTGATTTGTCTGATCCGACAGAATTGTATTACAATCTTAACGGCAATTACATTATATACGAAATGATTGGCTCTTATTATATCAGACCGTATGAGAAGCACAGGCCCAACGTCTACGGCCTGACCACTGATCACAAACTGCCCAACACTTTACGGGCCAACTCGAAGATATGCATCGATTGGATCCATGACTTGTTCTATTGGATCAAAGACAAGAAGCAGATCGTGGTGTCTGACTTCGATGGACTCAATCATCCCATCACTTTCGCCAACAAGATATATGAATCCATAACAACGATGGCAGTGAATCCCATCGATTCACTCGTCTTGTGGATTGAGTTTGACATCCAATACAACGAATATCTTCTGCAGAGGACATCTCAAGACGGATCCAACATTACACAGATCTACACGTTTAAGACACACATCAAGTGTCTTGAGTTTGACTATCCATACAAACGTATCTACTATTTGACAGCATTTGAGTTGTGCTCAATTGAATACGACGGCACCGGTAGGCGAGTGCTCGTCGCGGACGCGGATTCAATGTTTCAAATGCAAGTCTTCAACCAAAACGTCTATTGGATTGAGTACTCAAGCGATCAGATATTCAATTGTGCTCAATTGAATACGACGGCACCGGTAGGCGAGTGCTCGTCGCGGACGCGGATTCAATGTTTCAAATGCAAGTCTTCAACCAAAACGTCTATTGGATTGAGTACTCAAGCGATCAGATATTCAGAAGTAATTTATCGCAGCCGTCGGCCGCTCACCAAATGGTAACGTTTAACACAATAATTAATAGGTTTAATATTGTGGACAATTTGCGTCAACCCGGCGACGGCTTCAACCGATGCCTTCGCGCCAATTGCTCTGACTTGTGTCTGCCCGTCGACGCCGACCACTACCGCTGTGTCTGTCGGCAAACAAATTGTACGGACAATCAGAACAAACAATGGGCTCACGAGGTATACGTTGACCACACGCTGACCACAACTACCACCACAACAGAGTCCTCATTGTATTCTTCTATTGTCTATGATTTTGATAATTTCTTTGCGAAGTTTGAGAAAAAGATTTTACAATCTTTTGAGAATAAGAATGAAAATAATAATAAAAATGACACCAATTCTACAGATAATGTCAATTCAATTACAGTTACAACACATCCATCATTTGGTGAGAAAAATGTCATTTATGCCAAAACTGAAACAAAATTGTCTGATA